TTATTAATAATATCTTTTGCAAAAAAAAAATTAGATAATTATATATACACTAAAAATACTTTAAATCATAATACTATTATATTAATTAATAAAAATAAATCTCATCTTTGAGACGATTCACCTTACACCTGACTTGACTTTGCCGGTGATAACTTAAATTCTTCAACCTTGTCTCTTTTTAAAATTAGTATTTAAAATAAAAGTTTTTGTTTTGAATTTTTTCTATATATAAAATTAATTTTATATCTTTATTTTATAATATAATTATTAAAATTATTTCATAAATATTATCTTAAATTTTAATTTTAAAAAAATACAAATATTTAACCTTAAAACTTAATACAAATAAATTAATATGAGTGTGTTGAAAAAATTATTTATTATTTATTTATGAACTTTTAGAATTTCCCTATTGCTAACATTAAACTTGAATTTTTTTATCCTTTAAATACTCCAAAATAATCTAGATGTTACTTAACTTTCTATATAAGTTTTATAAAGTTTTATTTGAAGTATCAACCAATGTAAATCTAAATTCATCATCTTTTAAATTGTTAATTGTTATCCAACATTTGTGAAAGAAAATTGGAAAAATTACCTATATATATATTGTATTTTTCTACAATTTAAAAAGTTCCTAAATCATCATATCATCATACAGGGAAACTCAAGAATAAAACATTTAAATTAGAACTTTGCATTGTCTACTATTGCTTGGCCATACACTTACTATAATATAATGGGGTTTTCTCTTTATCTTGATCTTTTATGTAAGTTTTTTTTGTCATTTGTCTTTCAAGAAGTTTGGTGGGTGTAAAACTACTCACTAGAATGCAATTGTCCTTGGTTAAATAAAAAGACTGTTTTAGTATAAGTTGACTATAGTAAATATGGTGTAAAACACTTATTTGCACAAACTTGAATTAAGATATGCTCATAACCAATGATGCATGACTATATAGAGCCATAATTGCTGCCAATAGAGGTAAAAGAAAATCCCTTAACTCAAATGTTATTTTCTTTTTGGCAATTCAATACAATAATACCTCATACTTACAATGTCCTTTTGCAGTTTTTTTCTTAGCATCTGAAATTAAAGATGCCTTATTAGTAGACTCTAAAGTATCTTGATCTCTCATTCTCCTTTCATAAAACCAAATCATAACTTTTTATTAGATCACTTCTGATATGCAAAAGATAGGCATTTCTCTTGCTTCTAACAACCAACCACTTAGAACTTCACTAATGTTACATATCAAATGACCAAAATGATGATCTTAAAATAAAGTGATTCCCCAATGAACTTCCACTCCAATATGTACAAGGTTAATTTGAGATTTAATCTCTTCTACTACTTTTGTAAATGCCTACTTCCACACTCTTTTGAATTCCTTTTTAAAATTCTGTGCAAAATGTCTTAAATAAAACATAATCCAGAAACAGTTTTTAAGGTTCTAGAAAAATAACTTTCAACTATTGTCATTTTCATTGTCAATCACCCCAAAAGTAATCAAATATAAGTTTAAAAAATTTTGAGATAAATAAAAATTGAAACTACACTAAGATTTTTAAATGTTATATAGCTTAAAAATTGTAAGCAAGCAATGAAAACACTTAACTTGAATATAAGTTTTGTGCTTTTAAGCAAATCAGTATATCTGGTCTGTTTTTTTGTTCCTTTTTAATGGTCCAGATTTTATGATAATTTATTTTAATGGATAAGAGTTTTTTACTAAGCATAGTGTTTAAAATTTTTTAATTACCATACATCTTTGGTTTTATTAGTCTAATGGTTCTAAACTATTTACCAATACTACTTTTGATCATGCTTGGAAAAAGGAACAATAGATTACTCTAAAGCTTGAAGAGTCTACTCTTCTTTTTCTTGATTTGATCTTGATGCTCTTTTCGGAGTATAAGAAAAATATTAATAAAAAATTTCCGGATCCATTTATTTATTGATCTTACTAGCCGCTGCTTTTCAGCATCCACACAGCAAGCGCGAGGAGCAATGGCTGGGAGGTGAGCAGACCACTGACGAACGAGGCCTATAGAGGGTATGGAGACTTTCTGCTGCTCCGCCTAGACAACCGAGTCCTCGGCCAAGTTTTTCGGGCGCTAGGCGAATGTGATGGCGCCACGGGCTGCTTCCAGGCGAATCTCCTAGACCAGACGCTCAAGTACGCCGAAATCGTCAGCGGCGAATTCCCCCCACCCGCTGAAAAACCACTCGGGTTTGACGACATAGGCGACTACCCCATCCCATATACACACATGATCAAGCTCGTGGACAACGCCACGGAGAATGCAATCCGCTGCTGCCGTGGAGAGCCACCCATCCATCACCGCACACAGGAAGAAACTCCCCTCGTGCACGACTTTTGCCGGAATGTTGCCTGCCGAGCCGAGAAGGAAGTCTTTGCCGGGGAGCCAAACGTGCACGAGTTGAAGGAGCAGGCGCGTGCGTTTGCCGCTGAGTGCTATCCCAACCTCTTTGGTCTGCACTCCACAAACCTCACCGCTCTTGTCCATGAGCGCTCTCGATCATTTGCTACACCTGTTGTTCCACGCACTTTCTTCTCCAGCGATCACTTGAAATTGATGAGGTGTGCCAGGAGCCTCGAGTTGGCGCAGGAGGTGGCTGATGCCGGGGGACTGCCGGAATTCCCTCATCATGGAGGTCTCGTCTACAACTTTGAGAAGAAACACTGCTGCCACAAGTACAATAAAGCTATGGCTTCGATCCTGCCTGGAGTGTTTTAACTTCGGTTCTTTCTGTGGCTTGCTGAATATGACGAGCGCAAGCTATTGTGGTTGTCCTTCTAGAACCAGCAGTTCTACACTGTCGATGTGCAAGTGCCCGGTAAATAATTTGCAGACGTTATCTTAAATTTTTTTCTTGCGTACAGGTCTCACGTCGCTGGATCAAGTGACTGTTGTAAAAGATGGACAGGGCATGCGTGTTTCCATGGAGAAGGACGTGTTCCGCCCCGAGAGGCTTGCGGTTCCTCCTTATGCCGACGTCCACAGTGCAATACATAATCTCCAGGATGAGATTCGCACCATTCGCCTTCCCAAGGGGCCTCTGCGTTCAAAGGGACAGCTTCAACAATGCCAATTGACAACCTAGATGATCAATCTTATGTTTTTCTTTTTCCTTCTTTTAATTTCCTGTTGTTCTCTTCTTCTCTGCTGTAGCCAAGAGGCGATCCATCAGGGCAAATACAGCAGATGACGAGCATCACCACATTCTTTGTGTCGAAGTTCCAGGTATGTCTCTGAAAACTCTCGCGTTTTCTTGGCTTGTTGACCATGCAGGCTTGTCGCGAGAGGAAGTGATTGTGGACTGTGCAGGGCCGGAACTCATCGTTAAGACCAGCGGCAACGTCTTCAAGCAAAAGAAGCTTAAGCTCCCCTCTGGTGCAGACGTGAAGCAGGCTAAAGCGTCTTTCCGGAACGGCTTGCTTACCATTCGTGTTCCTAAGAGTGCAGAGCTAGCTTGTTCTGCAGAGCTAACTTTTCAGTAGCACTTTTTGTTTATGATGCCTGTTCTAATGTCATGTAATTGTAATATTGTTATATAAAGCGCTTAATTTCTATTGCGAATGTTGTGACGCAATCGCCCGCATGGATCTTCCGGAAGCTGTCGAAAATTCCTGCGGCTCCATACATCTAGATCTCAGGTCTCGGATTTTCGTAAAGGGCATGTAGCCAATAATCCCGATTGTGTGTTCAAGCAAAAAAAGAGAGAGAAAGTTGCTGGAGTAGAATCGAATAGTAACTTGATTAATCGTTGTCTAATCACGGTGTTAGCTATGGTTAGCTCTTTTCTATTTCTGAAGCAATAGATTTTCTTTTTCCACTAGAGGTACAAGAAATGTTCAAAATTCAGCATGAGACCTAAGGATTCAAGAAGCATGAGACCAAATGATCCCCTCTACCATAAGTTCAGCCGATGTCTAGTTTAGTTTTATCTATGCATTACTTAAGAGTGGCTTTCTTTATAAATACCTGCATGATAGATAGAAGAGTGAGACGAACGATCTTAAATAACTAGACGTTTGCACTACTTTGTCTTCGTAATGTATTACCGAAAAAGTGACTTTCTCATAAAATTGTGGGCTTTTATATGTGAGTTTTGAGTAATAAGCCAAGCAAGAAGAATACAGTACTGACAGGTATATTCACTTTTCTATCGTAAATTGCACCGTGACAGATTGTTGGCTCCAAACATGTAGTTCCAAGCGAGAAATATGCTGCCAAGGATCACGCACAAGGTTTTTGGGCCAGGAAAGAGAAAGCTGCATATACATCAACTACATCACAACTTGGAGAAGCAGGCCAATCTATCAGAGAGTTTTAAGGCAAAGAAAAAGCATTCTCGGAGCTGTATTACAGTGCATTGGTGCGCTCCAATTCGGATGTCACACTGGATAGTGAAGAGATTTCTTTCCAGCTCCAAAGGTGGAAGCTACGAAGAGAAAAAGACAGAGAATATAGAAGACCAACCGTAGCAGCTCAGTTCGCCCAAGATCCCTTGAGCTAGAGAAAGTTTCCGTCTACTCTATTGAATGATAAAAGTAAACAAAGGCACCTTTTCAGATTGTGCCAGTAACAAGTATCATTGGCAATGCCACACCTTAGAGATTCCGTGATCTAGCAAGGATCAAAAAGGCAAGCAGAGGAAAAAAAGGAAAAAGAAAGAGAAGATCCTTGTGAAAGCAGCGAAAGTTTCTCGAGCTTACGTAAGGGACGAAAAAGAAAGAGAAAAGCGGCAAAAGTTTCTCGAGTCGGATCTAGAGAAATTGAAAGTCACAAGAGAAATCACGCAATTGCGCTAAATCCCGCGCAAAGGATTTGTAGCCCTAACTCCGTTTGGACGGGAATCGAACCGCCAACGTTTTACTTCGCTAATTCAAGAAAGACGCCTTTAGAGCCTTTAGAGGGCAGCGGTTTGTTATGTTTTCTTGCTTCTTGTTTGCGTACTATAAGGAGGAGGAGCGGCGGCGCGATGAACCGGAGAGCTGGATGGCCGAGAAGATCCTCCACCACCACCACCACCACCACCGCCACCTCCATTCCCTCCTCACCACCTCCACCGCCGCCGCATTCCTCACGCTCGTCTTCGTTACCGCCCTTCTACTCTGCGCTCTCTACTCGGATTCTCCCTCCTCCACCCCGGCTTTCATCCTCCGGAGCCTCTCGGGCGCCGCCGCCGCCGTCTCCTCCACGCTCTCCGGCCAAAGCTCCCGCCTTTCGCCTCCGCTAGTCCAATCTCCATCGCCATCTCCATCTCCATCTCCCTGCGATCCAGAGAAAGCCCAGCGATTGCGCGGCGATCCAGAGAGGAGTACGAGAGGGCGATGGATCTACGACGATTCCTATCCACTCTACGAATCCCGGTCGTGCCCATTCATCGACGATGGGTTCCGGTGCTCCGAGAATGGGCGCCCGGACCTCGGCTACCTCAAGTGGCGGTGGAGCAGCGCCGAGAACCTCCGCGCGCCGGATCCGCGCGCCATCCTCGACCGCCTCCGCGGCCAGCGCGTCGTCTTCGTCGGCGATTCCATCGGCCGCAACCAGTGGGAGTCGCTGCTGTGCATCCTCGCGCAGGGCGTGGCCAACAAGTCGCGGATCTTCGAGGAGAACGGCGAGGCCATCACCAAGCACACGGGATTCCTCTCGTTTCGGTTCCAGGACTACAACTGCACGCTCGAGTACTACCGATCGCCCTTCCTGGTGCCGCAGGGCCGGCCACCGCCGGGCAGCCCCGCCAAGGTCCGATCGGCGATCCATGTCGATGTCTTGGACTGGACGTCGCCCAGGTGGATTGGCGCGCGCATCCTCGTCTTCAATGCCGGGCACTGGTGGAATTACGAGAAGACGCTGCGCGGGTGAGCTGCCCAATCCATCCCATCGATCGTTAGTTACTCTTTTCGATCGGATTCTCCCCTCTTCCTAACTGTTTCGCATGAACCCTAAAAACAGGGGATGCTACTTCGCCCAGCGCAACAGGGTGAACGTGACAATGCCCGTGGGCGACGCGTACGCGCGCGCGATCCACACATGGGGCGAGTGGGTGCGCCAGCGGATCGACACCAGCGCCACCGCCGTCTTCTTCCGATCCTACTCCTCGGTCCACTTCCGGTATCGCGAAATCCCCAAAACAGAGCACTCTGTTCTAAAGCTCCTCTCTCCAAATCTCTTTCTTTCTTTCTTGCCAGGAATGGGACATGGAGGAGTGGCGGGCACTGCGATCGCGAGACGATGCCCGGCCAGGCGAGCGATGGCGGGCAGCGGAGGGAGGAGGCGTGGACGACGCGCATCGCCCGCGACACGATTGCGAAGCTCCGCGGCGTGAGATTGCTCGATATCGGGGAGATGACCGATTTGCGGAGGGACGGCCACCCATCGCTGTGGTACCGGGGACCCAACGCTGGGCCGGCGGCGCGGAGCAAGCAGGACTGTAGCCACTGGTGCTTGCCGGGCGTCCCAGATACTTGGAACTTGCTGCTACTTCACCATCTCTGGCAAGATCTCTGACCATTCTTCCTTGTTTTCCTTTTCGATCGCCGCCACCACTGCCTCGATTCGCAAAGTGACCGAGCGGTTCCACCACACTGCCTCGATTCTCCAGTGATCGAGCGATTCTTTTTTTCGGACGACTGTATATGACAAGAGTTCTTTCTCTGCACAGCAATAAAGAAACCTTTAGCTTCCATGGGCGTTGACGACAAGCTTACTTACCTCTTCGACGACAAGCTTACTTACCTCCTCGATCGTTGGAACTGCCTTTTCGGAGTCGTAGCGTACTTTAGAGCGTGTGCTGGCTTTTATGTTGGAATGTCGACTTTGCGGGTCTGCGCGTTGAAGAGCTGTACGAGCTCGCTCGGCGACGTTGCGTCTTCCGGGGACTTGTCGATCCTCTCGCCCACGAATCTGGGGAAGCGTAAGGAAATGCCTCGGTCTGGATGGACTAGGCCAGCGGCTGCCTGGTGAACCGGGGAGATTGTATAGTCTGCATTAAACAAAAGAAACGCAATCACAACTGATAGCTTTTGTGCTGACTATTCTCACCGGCGCCGCGAATCTCCCACACTTTAGCAGCTGCGAACCACACATCGGGCCGCTCCAAAGTTTGATAGTAGCTTGGTTTTTTGCTTAGAAGCTTGTCCTCCGAGTAAAACTCCTTCATCTGGAGAGCAATGAAACGGAGGACGGATCATACAGAGGATTTACCTGCTCGTAAAAGGCGTCGGTGAAGCCGGACATAACGCGGCAAACGCTTTGGAATACCTCCTGATCAGGATCGTAGCACGCAAGGAGAAACGGGCTATGCCTGCAGAGGACTTGATGAGCAAAGACTGGAAGCTATTTCTTTGTACGTACCATCCAGCTTTGCGTCCATTCCCATACCAAGCTCCAATAGGTACAAGGTCAAGACTATCGCTCAATCCCTCGACATAATCTCGCTTCAGCTGTTTACACATACTTCAAATGATTATCAGCACAAAATTCAAAGAATCACCTTGAGCCAAGATTCTGCTCTTTTTGCTGGAGCGTAAAACGAGCCTTCGTCCAGGGCCTTTACCATTAATCCTTCACATGAAGCAGCAATAGCTTGTCCCAAGAAGTCCTGGATATGCTCCGTGTTATGCTCCTCGGGTGTGAACTGCAAAAGCCTAGAGTCGGTTCTTACCTTTTAAACTTAGAACCACTTACAGTCTTCTCCGCCGCAAAATCGAGATAACCAGGCCTTACTTCTGGAAACAAGTCATGCATGCGTCGTCTCCTGAGCCTGAGAGGTGCTTTTACAAACCTGCCAAAACTTACACGCTATGATCAGGCAAATTTCGACGGAACAAGGAAAAAAACTCACGGTTCACCATCCACGTACATAACATCGAAGACGAAAACGCAAACGTTGACCTGCGAGAATCTTTTCACGGTATGCTAGCAAGAACATGGGCTGTACGCACCGTAATTTTGTCCAAATCCACACCCGTCCCTGTTCGTCCCCCTCTCTCACGAGTACTGAGTGACTGGAAGGCCATTAACTTATTGTTGTTTGCCCTGTCAACTGCGACCAGCTGACAATACAGTTTTAGAATAAGGCCATACCAGAATCAAGAAACGATCAGACCTCTGCGTCGATGATAAATGATCGGCTGTCTCTTTTGATCGTTGACGACTTAATAATTTCGACCACATCCGGGAAACGCGACGTTGAATTCTCGCAATTACGAGAAAAGATTCGAACGGATCCGTCGTCTAAAAGATGAATTTGTGCTCGAAAGCCATCATACCTGTCGAGAAAAAAAAATCTGTTACTAAATTTACATCTCGCTCCTATACATACTTAAACTCCGACGTAAACGATTTTCCTTCAAAGATTTTCAACACGTCAGGGACCCCGTTTGCAATTCTGTAATTAAACGTTGTTATGGCCAAAGAAAAAAAGTCGAATGTGTGCAACATACTTTGCTAGCATGGGCTTTATGGGAATTCCAGGGGTTAAAACCATCCTCGTAGCTAGTGCTACCATGCCTTGTTCTAGTAGAAACGGAACTAGTATGTCCTGAGTCACAGGAATTGAGTGACATGTAAAACAATGTTACTACTTACAAAATTTGGAACAAGATTGAACGCCTCTACAATTAGCGCTGACACTTCCTGTGATCAACTCTTGACAAAGGAGCGTGTAAGATAAAAGAGCGTACCTGATGCTTCAAGGCCGCTACTGCAGAATTGTCCCGATGTAATACAACCGCTTCTGCCAGAGCTGGAAGAACCGTTCGTACCATAGCACCAATTCTCATGTTCTGTACCTGTTTGGATCATTACTAAAGAATAATTATTTGGTCGTCATTGTCCTACCAGAGTGCGTACAAGATATGTGACTTCCTTCTCACGGCATGATCGCAGGAGACCCACAACCATGTTTTTCTTGCGACTACTGCTTCCGATGCCGGTTTCTTTGCTGAAAAGGAGGCTCGGTGATCGGATTTAAGATGACCAGCAATTTCACCTTATCTGCTTTAATGTGCTGAAAACGTGACGTATCAGTAACGGTTGCGGATTCCTCAGCATGGATTGTGTTTGCTTGCATGCTTGTGCAACGTCACCTGCAAAACAGAAACACATTCCTCAGTACTTTGTGTAGCTAAACAGAGTGACGCACCCAGATCGCCCATACGGTTGTACATCTCCTTAAGTTTGGACTTCGGTGTTCCTGTTGCTTCTTCAATAGCCATAACCACGGTAGCTGTTCCGATGCTCAGGTCCTAAGAACAAGTAGACTAGTCATAAACTGATGAAAACTATCCTTTGAGCACGCCGTATGAGACAGAAAGACAACTAACCACATTTTCATAATCGGGGGCGATACGATTTGTTGTCAAATACAGTGCAGCAAGAACATCTGCCGATGACAGCGCTAGCAAACTGCAGGACAAGTTTTGCAAATTACGAGATAAACAAAGAGAAAAGAATGTCAGCGTACCTCCGGAACATGTTACACAGCATTTCTGTGGTACGATAGCGACCACTCTCTTTCTCAACGAGTTCAAACGTGCGTGCCAGATGCAAGTATGGTGCTAGTTCATCGGCTTTCCAGCAAGCTAGCACGAAAAGAAAAGGAGAGACAACTAAGCTTAGACATAAGATAATAGAAAACTATACCGTGGTGGACAGGATCATAGCTGCTGAGTGGTAATGCTACGTATGTTGCTCTAGAGCTTTCTTTGGGTTGTGATAATCGACCACTTGAAACGTTTCCATCCAGCCTGCCTTCGCTCATGTCATCTATTGTTTCCACCGCCACTGCTGTCGAAGGATCTTGCAAGTTCTCCTCGTTACAATCTTTCAATGTTATAGCTGGTACCTCTGAGATGTTGGCGGAATTGAAATGCAAGTCTAGTGCTGCCGCGATATCCCCGCCTCCCTTTTCTAGTAAAGCCAACGCTGAAGGTTCAGACACCTCTAACATGGTGACTAGCTGCTTCACCTTTTGATCAGTTGTCGTTCCAGAGCTCCTACTTTCTGTTGCTTCGGACGACGCGGATTCTTTCTTGAAGAACGAAAGAAGAGACCTTTGGCCGCTGATTAATGAGTTCTTCGTCTTACTTTTAGATCCTCTAGACTTGTTTGTAGTTGGAACTTTCGTTGGTCTACCGGGAGGCGGTGTTGCTGGAGGATGCTTCGGCCCTTTAGCACTCTGAGAACTACAGGATCTCAGAGTGATCGTTGTGCCTGTGTCCTTCCGTTCTGGTGAAGCTTGCTGTTTGCAAAAAAGAGCCACCGCGGCATTAAGGTCTCCCGATGCTTCCAAGAGCAGCTTCTCAATCTGTGTATCCGAGACCGACTCAGGCAGGACGCTCTTTAGCTGCATTTTCGTCTCGATATTCTCGTTGCTTATATCGTTGCTTCCATCGTTCTGCTCAAAATCTTCCCTGCTCCTCCTCCTGGCATTACGTCCAAAGGCAGTCAGATGCTCGCTGCAATCCTCGTTTTCTACCTCCGGTGTTTTATTCGTCGCTTTCCTGTTAAAGCCTTTAAGGAACTTCCTCTTGCTTCCAGTCTCGTCCACGAGATTACGAAAGTGTTTCTTCATAGCGTCCGCGGTCTTGCTGTCCATGCCTTTGTCATCAAGCCCGACCGTCGGAAAGACTTCTCTTGGCCTTAAGAATCCCACGTACTCCCTCAGCTCTTCATAGTTAGAATGCTCGCTGTATGGCACCAGATGAATTTCCAGTGAGCCCCTTTTCCTCACTGGAAAAGTTGCCTCGTGCGTCCAGCCCGTTGGAACGAAACCAACCACACGATCAACCTTGTTTTCCAGGCACAACATCTCCATATTGCTGAAGTTGGGACGGAAGAACGGCCAAGTCTCCCCAAGAACATTCCAGCCTACGACATGCACGGAGCTCCGTGCTTGATCGGTCGTGAAGCAAAGCATTGCCTGCTCTCCCAAATCCAAGCACTTGAGCAACGCGAGCTTCTTCTCGTTCACGTAAATCATGCACTTGCACCTCTCAGCCACGGCCAACAAAATCTTCTCCTTCCCAATCACGTACGTGGATATCAGGAACAGCGTGCGCTGCTGGCTTCTCTCCTCTTGCAGCATCATCCTCTCGATGGTCTCTGCGATATAGCTGATTGACTCTTCCTGTGCTGGAAACACGAACTTTGGATTGCAGTAAGTGGTGTCCAGGAACACGGCATCGGCTCCAACAAAGTTGCAAAGCGAGGCATCCTCCTTCATCACCGGCGTAAACCTCATATCCCCCGTATGAACAAACCGAGTTCCGTGCTCGGGGACCTCCACCAAGAACTGCACAGCCCCGGGGCAATGATTCGCATCCACCAGCGTCACTTGGCACTCGTCAATCCAGATCACAGAGTTCATCGCAAGCTCCACCACGAAATCCCGGCGAACACCCAGCGCCCCCACCACCAAGTGCCCGGTCACCTGCGAGCAGAAGATCATCCCCTTGTCCCACGACGGCGCCAGCCCGGCGTAGTGATCGCCGTGGAAGTGCGTGAGGAAATACGCCCTGGACCAGTCCCCAGCACACTGCGCCCCGAGTCCATCCACCACGAATCGAGTACCTGGAATGCGCTTGTGGAAGGGAAAATCCGATGGAAATCTCGAATAGCTGTGGCCGCCGCCGCCGCTGGCGCCATCGCCGCTGGCGCTCGCGCGGCGCCAGAGATCGAGCGAGGAGAGCGCTACCATAGACGTCGCTAGGGCAACTTCATAAACCCTAACTTTTGAAAGTTTCCCGCCATTAGGGTAACTCTATAAGTTTTGAGTCAGTTTAGTGTTTGAAAAAGTTCTACAATCGATTGCGAAGCTCGCGATGGTGCTTCACGAGATTGATCTTGCCATCCAGGAAAACGTCCCGCGAGATGGTGCCGGAGCTATGGTACCCACCCACACCGTCGAAGACGATGAGGTACCTCAGCGCGACACTCTTCTCGTGCTCCTTTGGGATGACATAGTAATGGCTGAGGCTCACCGGCGCGAACACCTCAATCACCCCAACGCACGACGTCCCAGTGCCAAATCTCCCATACCCAGCCCCACTCCCGCCGACGCTGCAGTAGCCCCGGGACATCGCGAGTGTAGTGGCTGCATAGATTCCCATCCCGGACGCCGCCCCGGTCGACATGTAGCGCGTGTTGCTCATGGATCGCACGCCGTTGCGGAGAATCGAGTACCAGTTATAAGTCGGGCTGCCGTGAAACGCAAAGAACGAGGCCGTGGAGGAGTCTAGAACCGCCTCCTGCTCGGGCGTGTCGTAGAGCACCACAAATTGGTCCGAGCACGCAATGGGCAGCCGCTCCTGTTCGCCCAGATGCCGCAAGCTCAGCCGGTCCGTGGCGAGGCAGAAGCGCAGGAGCTTGAGCGGGAGCCTCTCCGGTTTGCCAGCCGCCGCGCACCGCTGCCACTCCTCCTCCAGCAGCGCCACCACCTCGGCCTCGCTCGAGCACTGCGCCAGGCGCTCCACTGGCGGCACCGTCTCGAGCGCCTGGGACACCAGCCCGACCATCTTGTTGGCGAAGTTGGGGGACTTGTTCATGGATCCAAACCAGCCGTTGCTCTCCCGTAGCTCCCTCTCCTTGAGCATGAAGCTCGGGAATGGCTCCAGCACGTCCCGGGTCGTGGACAGCGACGCGAACTTCATGAACGCCACCTCCAGCTCCACCACCGCCGGGCTCGCGCGCACGGCTTCCAGGACGTTGGATCCCAGCCCGGTCTCCTGGCACGTAAACTGGCACAGATCGTTGCTGCACGGCTGGACCTTGAACGTCGAGGCCGGGAGGAGCCTGTAGCAGAACGGGCAGCTCTCCCACAGCATATCCAGCTGCAGCGCCATGAAGGAGACGAGGCCGAGCACCGGGTTCTCGCGCGCCGCCGCCTGCTGGAGCTGGCAGCTCATGATATAGTTGCTCCACTCGCCTCGGCTGCCCAGGCAGTAGAAGTCACAGAACACTCTCACCAGGTCGGGGAGCATCGTCGAGAGCGCGTACGAGGCCTTCTCCGCCTTGAGCTCGCCGCCCTGCGTCACCTCTACGCTCCGAGGATAGAAGCTCTTCTTGGGAGCCAGCCGCGCGTTCCCCCACACCGACTCAAACTTGAGAAGGATCTCCAGCGGCTTCTCCGTGACGAGGCCGTAGGCGTGGGCGATCCTGGCGTTGAGAAGACCGATCCGGAGCGCCACCTTGATGCCAATCTCCACCGCCACCCTGCAGTGCTTGAGCGCCGGGTCCGCCTCGCAGGCGCTCGCCGCTGCCACCGCCAGGCCGTATAGAGAGCTCGGGGACCGGGAGAAGAACTCCGAGTTCTCGTCCACGAAGTCCTCGCCCTCGAAGATCCCAACCCTGTCCTCGTCGTCCTCGTCGTCCTCGTCACCGCCACCATCGTCGTCCGCCACCTTTTGCCTCTTCCTCCTCGCGTCCAAACCCATGATCGTGGCCAGTAGCATGTCTAGAACCGTGTGGAGCTTGGCCGGTGCCAAATCCTGGAGCTTCGAGTTGAGATCTCCCAAGAGGTCCTCGAGCTCGTCGGCCACCTCCACCCCGATCACCAGCGCCGCCGGCATCATCACCACCATTTGCATACTCCCAATCTCCACGGCCACCGAGTACTCGCTGCCATGGTTCTCGGCTATTCTTACGTTGCAGTGGATCGCGTCCAGCTCCTGCTGGTTCCGTGACGTCCAATCGCTCAGCCACTCTTGAGCCATCCAAAAACCTTTAAACCCTAGAAGTTCAGCAAATTTGACCATTATTCTCGTCAGCGCACACTGGATCTCATGCTAAAGTCGATGGTGTTGAAGCAAAATGGATGCCCGATCACTGCGTTCCTGCGCACGATCTCTTCGTGTTGAAGAGAAAAAGCAAAGCAAAGACGCAAGCTTACTGGCGAGGGCCGTAGATTTTGATCTGCCGGATGTGAGTGTCTCTTCCGTTTTGATGATTCGAGAGCACGGCCAATTGGACTAGAAAAGCTCGCAGGTATTCCCTGAAGAACACAGAATCCCAAATCTAGAAGAAGAAGAATGGCGGAGAGAAAGATTTCTTACTTGGAGTCTGTGGGACACAACGAGACTTTCACCCATCCAACTGGCTCCGCGAGCTCCACCATTTTGATCTCCTTGGAAGAGGAAGAGAAAAGAGAGATTTTGTTGACACAGTCGAGACGAAGAACGAAAAGTAAACATACCCTCAAGTCATAGAAAGAATTTCCAGTGCGCACCGAGATCTTGTTGGGCGTGTAGCTCTCATCCAGCTTGAAATCCACGTAAATCGCCAGCAGCTGCAAGCGCACCTTCTTCTGGAACTGGATGTTCACCAAATGCGGCTGCGCGCCATCGGATCTAAGAACCCCAGCGATCAGAGACGGGGAAAATGCGCAAGAACACAATACCCCTACTGCCAGTAGGTCTCCAGGCTCGCATCGCGCAGCAGATCGACGCCATTCCCGGGCTTGGCGGAGCTCACGCTCCACACAGCCAGCTTCCCGATCTCCCGCCGCTCGCCTTCGTCCTCGTCCTGCTGCATTAAGCGCCGGATCTTTTTAGGGTTCTTGCGGATCTTTAGGGTTCTTGGAGGAGGAGCAGCGATGGTGTGCATCCGGCAGGCGACAGTGGACGATCTCCTGGCGATGCAGAGCTGCAATCTTATGTGCCTGCCGGAGAATTACCAGATGAAGTACTACTTCTACCACATTCTCTCGTGGCCGCAGCTCCTCTACGTGGCCGAGGACAACAAGAAGATCGTCGGGTACGTCCTGGCCAAGATGGAGGAGGAGAGCTCCGAGTGCCACGGCCACATCACGTCGCTGGCGGTGCTGCGCACGCACCGCAAGCTAGGGCTGGCCACCAAGCTCATGAGCGCCGCGCAGCGCGCGATGCAGGAGGTTTTCGGGGCCGACTACGTCTCGCTCCACGTCCGTAAGAGCAACCGCGCGGCATTCCACCTCTACACCGAGACGCTGGGCTACAAGATCAACGACATCGAGGCCAAGTACTACGCGGATAGCGAGGACGCCTACGACATGCGCAACATGTTCCACAAGCCCGGCAAGAGCAAGGCCGCGGCGCTCAAGGACAAGGACTCTGGCGGGAAGAAGCCATCGCCCACTTCGGTCGAGAAGGAGAAGGAGAAGGAGAAGGAGAAGGAGAAGGCGTCCAAGGCGCCCTTGGAGAAGAAGCCACACTCCAAGGACAAAGACAAGGATCCGGAAGGAGGAGGGGCGCCGACCAACACGAATTCGCGAAGAGGTCTCAAGGCTGTAGATTGATAAACGAGGAGCTCGAGAGCTCAGTGAGCTTGGAGCTTGGAGCTTGGAGTACAAGGTATTTTTTTTATTTGATCTCTCATTCTCACAGCCGAGCTCGCGCAAAACACACACAACACTCCAGAAACTTACTTCTATTCGTCACACTCCATGGCTGGCCGGGGCTTATTCATCCTCCATCCACCACCTTCTATGCCTGGGAATCACACCTCCTGGTCGCAGGATTATACATCTTCGGCACCAGGAACTGCCGCTTGCGATAGCCGAAGACGTTGAAGCTGGCTCCGGTGGTCTTGTTCCGCAGCAAGTCGTCCGGGAGAGCCTTCCTGTCCTTGCAGAAGCCCACGGCCTCGCTCATCACATTCTTCCCCTGGAGCGAGTAGTATCCGTTCAAGAACGGATTCGTGGCCACCGACGACAGCATCTCGGCAATGTTGACGATCATACCATCGATCCCGACGTCCCCGTTTGGCGGAACGAGCCCCTTGACTTGCTGCGGCGGCGGTGGCGGCTTCTTTCCTTCTTTCTTTGGCGGCGGCACGGGCTTCGGCTTGGAGCTCCCGAAAGGCCAGCTACAAGTTGCCGGGCATCGCTTCTCGGTGTTGGCGATCCAAGCGTAAGCAAGGCCTTTTCGGTCGGTGGCGGACTGGGGAACCACGAACGAGTGCTGTCCGCAAAACTGCTTGCACAGGCCTTTCACTTTGACGTCGTCCGCGAGGAGCAGTAGATAGATTCCCTGGGGATCGGTCGGGAAGTGGCCCAGCAAGCGCAGGATCATCGTCTCAATCTGCGTCAAGTTGAGCTCCTTTCCCATGGAGTAGGACTTGTCTCGGACCTCCCGTCCCCGCCTCACGAGTCGTCCCACGGTAGCGCCCTTCCGGTTGACGTAGCTTTTTGTTATCTCCCACCATCGTGCGACCGTCGGAGACGCTGGAGGCCTCTCGGACTTGAATGCTGGCTGATGCTCGGGTAACGGCGATGGCCTTGGTGGCTTCGGTGGAGACTTCTTCGGTGGTAGTGGCAGCGGTAGCGATGGAGGTGGCGGAGAAGGCGGAGGTGGAGATAGCGGTGGTGGAGAAGGTGGAGGAGGAGACGGAGGTGGTGGAGAAGGTGGTGGCGGAGGTGGAGGTGGGGAGGGAGGTGGTGGTGGTGGTGGCGATTTATTCGACTTTGGAGGATTCTTTAGTGACGGAGGCGGTGGTGGAGGTGGAGAAGGAGGTGGCGGTGATGGCGGCGGCGGCGGTGGTGGCGATTTGAGTGGCTTTGGCAGCGGCGGCGGTAGCTTCTTCTCTTGCGACTGGAAGGACCTGAGGAAGGACCTGATAGTTCTTCTCTGCGCCTTTGTGAAGTTGCCGTAGAACGTCACGTAAATGGAGATGGTGTTGTTCTGGCCGACCAGGATGGGTCCATCGTGAAATGAGAGGCCGCTGGGGCCTTTCACTCGGCCAATCGGCTGAGCCTTGAGCTTGCTGCTATCCCATGGCGAGGCGGCCGCTATCTGGACAAGAGCCGGGAGTACGCATGCCAGATACAAGAGCAGGCTCGTCATCCTTTTGCTGGCATGAGAGCATCCCTCCTTTCTAGTAGTCCACTTAGCATCCTTGTCAGCTTGCCGTTCACAAGCTCGTTGCGGAGTAACTGTCAAACGGTAGTTACGGGTAGCGGGACCAAGGAAAAAACAGAAAAAAAATTGCAAGCAGCTATAAAAACTCACATTTCAGATGTTGTGAAACAATCTCGGACTTCTTCCATCCGATGCTCTGCAGTGTGGCGCTGATTGAATCGTCCAACCGGAGCAGCTGAGGTGGGATAACAGTCTCCACACAAATCGTAGCCAACTTTCTCTGGACAGTCTATACATTTGTATCTTGAACCGATAATTGGCAAGACCTGCGAGCGACTGTCAGTCCATGCCAACTTCCGATGTAAAATCTAAGAAGCTTACCCCACAGCCATCACAACCTGCACCCCGGTGGACATGGCAAGCTTGTTTGTTGCTACCATCCTTTGATGATGCTGCGGCAATGTCAATGTTAGCGATAGCGGCATATCAACGAAAAAGAAACGAACATGAGCGTGAGCATGTTGAGCTCGAAGCCCGGGTCGAGGCTTCCGTCGTCTCAACTTCCTTAAGCTTGTCTTCTCTTTGTTTATACTCCGCGGGAAACGTCTTCTGTATGTACTCGTTTAGCTCCAGGCAAACTTGCACTGGAAAAATCCTTTGTGGCATACCGCAAGACGGGCACTTGGGACTTTCACCTTCGACTGGGGCCCTCAGACAGCTTTGACAAAACGCTGTGCCGAGAAAACGAACAAGTTAGAAGCAAAAATAAACAATGACAAGGATTGATCTCACCGTGTCCGCAATTTAAGACGACTGGACGGTATATCAGCTCCTTGCAGAGCTCGCAAGGCAGGTCGGATGCCTCTATAGCTCCATCAATGCTTTTTTCAATCACTTCTTCAGGAGAAAAGTATTCCATCTCGCTCTCCATCTCTTCAAGAACAAAAAAAGAGCTTCAAATGAGAGCATTGATAAGAGAAAGAAAAGAAACCTAAAGCGTAAGGCTAGAATGGATTGCCACTCACCTAGTATCTCTTTCCTTCGCTCCTCGTACGCCTCGCGAAATCCAGCTCCCAGCAAGCGATGGAGGAGCCCGCAAATCCTCGGGAACTGCGTGTACTCGCATCTACACATCGGGCAGCGCGAAGGGCCGGATCCATTCATCGCGTAATCGACACACCAGAAGCAAAAGAAATGGCCGCACGCTGCAATGGCAACAAGAGATCACAAAGAGAATCCATGGAAAGAACAAACCGACCTTGGACGATAGGTTTGAAACAAAGCTCCCTGCAAGGAAGAAAGCATGAGAAGAAATCCCCCACCGCGCAATCGAATCGATCTTACAAGCACATCGCGCACTGGAAATGCGGCCAATCCTCCAGCGCCTTGGGATCGAGTGCCGCGTAAGCGTCCATCTCCATTCACAACCCTGCCCTAGTTTTTTGAGGACACGACTTCTTGGAATATCTGTGTTATTCCCATTTCTTCTTCCTATTGGAGAAAGTAGCCACTGAGGAAGAGGATAAAGAAGAAGACGAGCGATCCATAGATGAGCAAGCTCTTCTGGCCGGATGTGAGAGTGTTGGTGCCAAATCCATAGCTCTGGTTCTCGGCGAATCCGGCCACTTCCACGCTGATGCTATTGAAGTAGGACTTGGCGGCGCCGCAAGTGGAGCATCTCCAATCCTCGGGCAGCTGCGCGAATTCCACTCCTGGCGCGATGGGGTAGGATGGATCGCCCACGGTTTGATCGTAGACGTAGCCGCAGGAGCGGCATTGGTGCTTGCCCAGATCGCGGACGGCGAATTTCTCCTCTGGAGATTGATTGGGATCGTTCTTGGAACTGGGGGAAGAAGATTATCGATGCTTACCTCTCCTCCGATCCACATTCTCCAGCGGCAGCGCCAAATCGATCTCGCTATCGTCCTGCTCGCTCGCTACCACATCGTTGTCCACCGCCCATCGCCGGATTGCTACGAGGCGGGATTTCTGGAGAGGCCGGATGATCGATCGATGCGCACTAACCTGGATGATCGATCGCGATGCTGGATGGTGGGATTTGTGGACCACAGGAGTGGGAGGATGATCGAGGAGCGTGGCCGCCATAGCTCTCCCAGACCTCAAATCCATGACGTGGCAAATGTGGTGGTCTAGCTAGTGCCACGTGGCAAGAGGAATTTAGGCCAAGTGGATTAGGGTTTTTCGGGGGTTTTAGGGCTCTTCGGGCGATGATAGAGAGAGATCTCCATCCAGGGCAGATCCTATGGCGGAATATAGTGACGAGAAGCAGGGATTCCAAGGCGTTCTTGGTCGGACTGATGGGAGCGTGCATTGTGGTGCCGTGGGCGGTCGCGGAAGGATTCATGTGGGGCGCCAAGCGCAACCAGGCCAAGCTCAAAGAAGAGCTCCGCCACGCGCCCTTCAATATGACAGAGGTGAGAGATTTTAGATCTAGTTTCGATCGATTTCTCGCAAAGTCTAGCTCCATTCCTTGCCGCATTCCCTCGGTCTTGTCCAGTTTTGATTGAATCCGAGAGGAATTTGTAGGAAGTGACCAGCGCGAACAAGGAGAGGATCGAGCAGCTGTTTGACGACATCAAATACAAGCGCAATCTAAGCGATCGCTACTTGAAAGCGAAGAATCCTCCACGAACACGAGGAAAGACTACCACAGTGCCAGAGCAAGAAGATCCAAAGCTATGATCTTAGTACAACTTTTTGTTCTTGATAAAATGAGGGAAAAAGAAAGTTTTCCACTTTGCATCTGTTGGAGACATGGGGTTTTGATCCCCAGACCTTTCGCATGCTAAGCGAATGCTCTACCAACGGAGCTCTATCCCCGACTCACGTACACGTGTATGCGACCATTTCCCCTCGGCCCTTTTCATCAAATCAAGGTCACTCTGTCACACACTATTTGAATTATTGTTATGAGTTCCAGCAACTGTGAGATGATATATCACACATTTTTATTTCATGAACATGATTGCTTCACAGTCTTAGAATTCAGACTATCATTGTCACATGTCACTTGCTACATTGTCACAATGTCATGCGATAGCCATACGCATCCGCGAGAGAGGACTCCACCGTGTTGAACAGGAACTCACAGCCGTCGTATGCAAGCGTGATGCTTGGATTTCTTTCCCACAGTCTTGTAGAAATAGAAAGAACCACTTGTCTGTAGTTTCCAAATGATCCATAGTTTATGAACATGTAAGAATGATAACAAACAATGGCCGAGAACAAAAAAGACTTCGCATGATTTACTCGAAATCTTGGGGTTGGCTGCTTGCAAAGACGTTCCACACGATGGCTCCTGTCACGTAGAAGAAGATTGAAGGGAGAAACAACGAGAGCTGAGGAGGAAAAGAAAAACTTTGAGCCTCCTTGAGCATCTGGGAAGTGCTTGAAAGGCTTCGCTTACCGTCCAGGAACCGGTTTGATCGAAAATGTAACCGGTTGCCGCAACTCCTACCACTCCAGGAATTGCACCAGCAGTATTTGTTATGCCCTGTGTGAGAAATGCTTTGGTTTAGAAAGGAAAAAAGAAAGGAGATGATTTGATTCCATACCAAAAGAATGCCGGCGTACTTCCGTGATATATCTTGGTGTGTACAGTAAAGCCCTGGCAACACTGTTAGCAGCCGAAGAAACAAGGAAAATGACTACCAGATACCTGACAGCGCGAAACTTGACAATCCAATACCACCGGTTAGAAGCAGTATGACCGACCACGGTGGTAGACTAGGAACCAATGAGACAATACTCATGGAAGCTGATGGAGAGAGAAAAGCGATGCTTTGGCAGATTTTTCTCACCTAGAAACATAACAGTGCTAGTCAGAGGGACAAGAAAGAGAACACCAAACTTACCACTGTGGTGCTTAGTCCAGATGTGATCATGCTATCAGCCCAGACAGCCGCAAAGCTTGTTACTGGAACAGATGCTAGAGGAGGAAGAATTGATATCTGTACTTTCATTAATCAGCCATTTTGATAGCAAAAGGAAAAGCTCTCACCAGTGCTGCATTAGTCAGATTCAGGTGTAGCTCATCACTGATATAAAAAGTCAGTACACATTGGTTTTTCTACAGTTTAACGCACCTGACAAATGTCGGCATCCAGGAAAGAAGTGTAAAATATCCCCAATTTCCACAGAAATGGGCATAAATCATCGCCCAGACTGGTGGACTTCTGAAAAAAGCGCTCCAAGGGACCTGTGACGAAACAGAAAAGATGATTACGGCGTCGAACGAAATGTTCCTAACCTTTGACGGTTGTCCAGTCTCATTGTCAGCAGCTGCTTGATCTGTCTCTGCAAAAAATGGTGTTTACATCACTCAGAACGCTGTATACTTGTATTTACCTGAATCGCATCCTTCCGGATTGAACAGAAGGCACCTGGTCAAACACACGTCAACAAAAGTTCAAAGGCTTGTTCCATACCAGAAAAGGCCGAGCAAACCAAAGACGTAGAAAACAGATTGCCATCCAAAGTTTTCAATGAAAACAGGAGCGAAAAGCAGCCTGGTTTGCAAGATTCCATAAGTTACGCATTAGAGAGGCACAAAAGCTCACCCCGCTATACTTCCAACGCTGAGGCCACCGAAAATAACAGAGACCGCTCGCGAACGCTCGTTCGCACTTACTGTTCTACATTCACACATGAAAAACAAACAGTTACTGATAATGTTACGTAATTGTACCTTGCTACGAGATCGGTAGCGGCTGAAGGAGACACGCCTTCGCCGACACCGACCTGTCAATTCCGGAATCCATCACTCTTTGTCAGAGAAAGAAAAACTATGCTAGAATGGAAAACATACCATCACCCGGCTTGCCAGAATTAATGGTAGATATCGGGCTGAAAGTGGGACAGCCATAGTTGCCAACGACCAAAGAAAGACACCACCACGCAACACATATCTAGTACCAAACGGCAGGGAAAATAAAAAAAGAAACGGAGAATATAGAGCCTTACTTTCCAGAAAATTTACGTGAAAGCCATCCACCAGGCAACTGGCTGAAAGCGTATCCCAGAAACAGCGACGACTGAACTAATCCAGAAGTTGTTGCCGGCCATCCAAACTGCTGCGACATCGGTATAATAGCTACACTCAAGTTCACCTTGAAACAAACAAGTAAATATCGTTAAGTCAGCGATAAAATTAATCAGCGAGAAACTGAGAGGTACCTTGTCCATGTTGCAAATCACGAACGCGAGAGAAGCCATGAGAATGACCCTGTACTTGGGTTGATTCCAAGAAACACTAGCAGTATCTGTGGACGAAGGTATTGCAGTAATTTCATCTTCTTTATCCTGTGAGACACAATGGAATCTCAGCCCTGAGCCGTTCCGGAGTCTGAGATGCTTTGTACTTAAAGGGCTAGACTGCGGACAGATACTCATCTTGGTCGCGACTCGAGGTAGCCCAAGACACAAAGCCACTGCTGCCATTGACGGACCTTTTATCTACAGACCATAGCTGACCTTCTAAACTCTTTGGTTACACAGACTGGGGGCGTTTCACTGTTGCTTTACAGTCAGTGAGGGCTGGCCCCGAGGCAGCCTCTTTGCAATCTCCTGTATGTTTCTGAGAGTTAAAAAGGGATTCAACAAAAGACCTTAGCGTACCTCGAAGAGCTCGTTAATGTTGCCGGCGGTTTTCGCCGACGCCTCCGTAAAGAACATGGAGTTGCTCTCTGCATAAGCCCGAGCTTCCTGTAGATAGCATGTTGTGAGAGCAATTTTGAACTGCCAGCTTGAACATACATCTGTTGAAACCGTGCGCAAGTTGTCAAGGTCGGCCTTGTTCCCAACAAGCGCAAGAACTATCCCTGCGTTCGCATGTTTTTGTAGCTCCTACACGAAAATAAACGAGCAACCATAGTTAATGACAAACACGCAAAATGAAAAGCAAGGGTGGAACCTTGACCCAGTATTGAGCTTTCTGAAATGACTCCTTGCTGGTCAGGTCGTAGACTACCACCGCTGCAGAAGCTCCCCTATAGTAAAGTGGTGCTAATGAAGCATATCTCTCTTGTCCTGCGGTGTCCCATATCTCAAACTTAACTGTGCTCGAGTCTTGGAGAGCTATAGTTTGCGACAAAAAAGAAGCACCAACAGTAACCTGTAGCACCATATCAAAATAATAAACACATTAAAAGCACTACTTGCCTTTGATGACGGATCAAACTGCCCCCTTACAAAGCGCAGAACAATGCAGCTCTTTCCCACTCCGGAGTCGCCGAGAAGAACCAGCTGATTGTAGAGAGTTGGATCAATTCACAGCACAGGCTTTCCAACTCACCTTGACCCGTAGGTGTTTAGTATCTTGCGATCCATTTTCCAGAGAACCGTCACTCAGATGTGGCAAACCTTTAACTGGAGAAAAAGGAAATCAGCTTCGAACTTGGAGCTCACACAAATAGATCGCATAAATTGACGATTTGGGTACAACCATCGAAGGAGCAAAACATACCGGGTCTAGAAGCCGCACACCCCATCGTCGTCCTCCGGAGCTTAAGAACCTATGGAATATGCTGATCTCTCACTGGAGTTTAAGTAGTTCCGAAATAGTCACGACCGAATAGCCCTTTCGTTTAAGCTCGGGGAGAAGTACCCTTAGCACCTGAAACCAAACTCGTGATCGAAACTAGGAAAAAGGGTAGTACCTCCGGAGTCTGTATCTTCTGCTGTTCCCTGTCGTGAAGAACGATAATAGCACCGGGATGAACCTACAACTTTCCACAATAAAGGTTTAAGGACCATCTGGAAAATTGACACATACCCTCCACAATAGGTACTTGGCAATCAACTTTCCTTTGTTCCTGAACAACGTGTCGAGAGGATACAGAGAGCCGAGTACCAATTTGTAGCCGTACCCCTCGACAAGATCTATCATTTCTCGAGTGTAGAAGCCGTGTCCCTGCACGAAAATTATGATTGATCAGTGAACGAAGAAGCTTGAGTTACATACGGGTCGAAACCACTTCCACGGTTTTCCGTCCTCGCCTTTACGGAAAAATGGATTGAGCCGTCTCTCTGTGGCAAGAAGCTGGGCAGTAAACTCCTCCTGCATGCACACAAATGCTTCAACTTACACCTATAAAAACGAGGCATACCGGAGAGAGACGCCAGGAAGCACAATCGTACATGGTGTGGTTCCCAACCTCATGCCCTGTATCATCCAACGTGATGAAAAGCAAAGCTATGGCGACGCACCTTCTTTGTAAATTCTCTCGACCACCTCTGGGCACTTGTCCATATTACTTCCTATCAGGAACCACGTCGCTTTGCTGTGGTTTTCCTCAAGAATGTCCAGTAGCTGAAACACGAAAATCCCTTGGGACGATTTAGCTAAGAACATGTCACAAAGAAAAAAAAAAGAAAAATCTCTCCACTCACTCAAGAAAAACTAGTTTACTACCTCGTGTGTAATGTCTCTGTGAGGCCCATCGTCCAGAGTGAGCGCGACCAGAAGCTCTGGACAAAATCAAGCAATGTGAGAGTGCTAGGGAAGGAAAGAGAAGAGCAGACCGTGCTTTTCTCGTCCTTGATCGAGAAACAAGACTCTTCGCTGCCTCGTTTGCACGATCCTGACGAGCCATGTCGGGTGAACGGCGAGCCTGGATTCACAAGAAGGATGAGCAACGAAAAGAGCTGCCTATGATCGACCACTCACGTAAGAATGCCAATGCCGGCGATTCCAAGCGCTCCAAATCCGAGGGTAAGCGTCGCGGCGGCCACTCCCCCTTGTGGCCACATTCTCTTTTCTTCCAAGATATTAGGGCTCTACGAGGAAATGGCGCTATGTGGCATTCCGCTGACAATTCTAGGGCTCCTCTAGCGCCGATGGATGCGGCGAGCGAATGTAAGAATCTGTGCCTCTCGCCTGCTCTCTTGTGATCTTTCTCTCTGCAGAGCGAGCACACAACCAATCTGGCAGAGCAGCAAGATCGAGGAGAATCGTTTGGTATCCAGGAGTTTCGATGGCACTGGGTTCGCCCTCGCGGCCTCGAGAGCTTGCGGCATTCTCAGGGATCTGGAAACAGCACGAAGGCTACACAAGGATGCGATCGCGATCGACGGGAACAGCAACATCTACATCGCGAGCAGCTTGGTGGACAGCTACGCGAAATGTGGGAGCCTGGTCGATGCTCGCAGCGCCTTCGAAGCTATGGATTCCCGCAATGCAGTGGCGTGGACGTCGCTGATCCTCGGCTGCGCGGAGAATGGGGAGGCCGAGGCTGGCCTGGAGTTGTTCCAGCGGATCATCGACGAGGGCTGCGAGCCAAGCGCTCGATCTTTCGTGGCGGCCCTCAAGTGTTGCTCTCGGCTGGCCAGGGAAGAAGAGGGAAGCCTCGATCGTCTCCATGGCAAGACGCGCAAGAAGCTGAGAAGCTTGGCTAGAGGCGCGGCTATTCATCGCTTGATCGAGGGATGCGTGGATATCTTCGTCGCGGGCAGCCTGATCGACATGTACGCTAGCTGTGGAGATTTGCGGCGAGCTCGTCGCGTCTTCGACAGGATTCCATGCCACAACTTGGTAGCGTGGAACGCTATGATCCTGGGCTATGCCGAGCAAGGTGACGGACGCTCGTCGCTGGAGCTCTACGATCGCTTGTCTTCGGTTCCGGGGATGGTTCCAGACGCTCGGACGATTGGAGCTGCTCTTAAGGCTTGCTCCCTCCTAGCAGCTGACAAGCACCGCAACGAAAAGTTCTATGAAAAGTTGGAGCATGAAGAACACGAAGAAAGGATAGAGCATGAAGAACAAGAACACAGTAACGCTCTCCAGGTGAGGGAATTGCTGGACAAAGGCAGGCAGCTTTTCTCTCGAGCAGTGGAACTCGGGTATGGCTCGGACGTCTTCCTTCTTAACACGGTGGTGGACTTTTACGCGAAGTGTGGGAGCTTGGCCGAGGCTCGGGCGGTCTTCGACAGGATTCCATGCAAGACGTGCGTCTCCTGGAACGCTCTCATGCTCGGCTACGTGGAGAACGGTCATGCCGAGCAGGCTCTAGACTTGTTCATGAGCATGCCGGACGAGATGGATTCGACGACGTTTGCTGCGGCTTTCAAGGCCTGTGGTAGCAGAGCTTTTCTGGGAACTGGGAAGTCCATCCACGCACATATCTGCCGGTGTGGAGCTGAGAAGAACCTGGTTGTGGCGACCGGAGCTTTGGATTTCTACTCCAAGTGCGGCAACATGGTCGAAGCTCAGCACATCTTCGACTCCATGCCGTCGAAGAACACCGTAACTTGGACAGCGCTCATCGGCGGATTCAGTCGCCTGGGAGGAGAGGAATCGACACAGCAGGTGTTTGATCTCTTCCGTGAGATGCTCGACGGTGGGCTCAAGCCAGACGGTGCCACTCTCGTGCTGGTCATTGCCGCTTGCAGCCATGCCGGCCTGGTCGACAAAGGCCGAAAGATCTTCGAAGAAGTTCTTCCGAGGCACTGCGTCTCTCTCGGGATAGAGCACTACCACGCCTTGATCGATCTTCTGGGACGAGCCAACGAGCTCCAGGAAGCTCTGGACGTGGCGGAGACGATGCCTTTCAAGCCCAGCTTCGTGACATGGATGACGCTGCTGGCCTGCTGCAAGAAGTGGGGCAATGCAGCGATTGGGAAGCTCGCGTTCCAGAGATTGATAGCGATCGATGCGACAGACCCCACTGCCTATGTGCTCCTGGAGAAGATCTACGCGAGCCAAGGATCGTGGAAGGAGCTCGCGGAGATCGAAGAAATGAGGAAGAAGAAGAAAGCGAAGACCGTTGACTCTGTACGTCTTTGACTAGACCGCGTTTGACTGAAAATTCTACGGTGCTATGGCTGTTTCCACGACGCTTCTTCGATAACTAGCTAAAAGCGTTTTTTACAGTGAGCTATTTGTTAGTCCATTCTTCGCTAGGGCTCTCTGGCGCTCCGGACTAGGGTATACATGGTCCTCGTGAGCTTGGCAGCTGAGAGCGCGGCGCCAGCGTGTTGATCTGGGCAGAGCGGAGCTTCCAATTCCACCAGTGCCGGCAGTCCGCGAGCTGAAATTGTGAGTTTCTAGGGGCGAAGAAATGCGCGATAGCGCTCCTCGCAGCGATCCTCACAATGTATGACAATCGCCGTTTAAGATTCTTTCCCTCTCAGCCAGGTATGTGCTCTGTTGTGGAGAAGCGATTTTTTGGATTAATTTTGTGTTGTTTGACAATGTCTATAGAGATTGACATCTATCAGATTATACGCGAAGCACAGAACAGATGGTTGAGGCCTCTGGAAGTGATCGAGATCCTCCGCAACTACCAGAAGTTCCGGCTCAACCCCGTTCCACCGAATAAGCCTCCAAGTATGAATCGATCGCTTTGAGCTTTGACTGGACATTTAATACTTTACAAGCAGGTGGATCGTTGTTTCTCTTTGATCGTAAGACACTGCGCTTCTTCCGCAAGGATGGTCATAATTGGCGGAAGAAGAAAGATGGTAAAACTGTCCGAGAGGCTCACGAGCGTCTTAAGGTATGGCTAGAAGCTTGCTCGAAGAATTTCTAAGATATTCCTATTGTAGGCCGGTAGTGTAGATGTTCTTCACTGTTATTATGCTCATGGAGAGGACAATCCAAATTTTCAACGTCGGAGTTATTGGATGCTTGAAGGGTAATGTCAACAAAAAGAATAGCCGATAGTTATAACGACAGTTTTACAGGGCATATGAACACATCGTCCTTGTACACTACAGGGAAGTCACGGAGGTACAAAGTTTTATTTTTTACCTCTCCATGTGTATCTCGAAAGTCATTTCTTTATTTTGCACTTTCCAGGGAAGCAGATCAT